TTCTCAGTACACTGTTAGTTAGTACTAAGGTCAAATATGGCATTCATATAACAGCAACACTGTTACTGTGATTAAGCATCAGTTCAGCTTCAACATGGTTAGGTCATTGCCACTGGAAAACCATAAGATTTCCAGTTTGATTGATCTACGGAAATTTGATATTCATTTATGAAATGAAAAGCTTGCAATACAAAGCAGAGATGGAACCAGTACCGGTCTGGATTCCGAATCGACCGGTCTAAACCGGACTGAACCGGTCTAAATCAGTCTGACCGGTCTAAACCGGTCTACACCGGTTTTACGGGTCCAAATCGGTCCAAATTCGTCTGTGTTTCTAAAAATTGTGTATTTCACTTTTTCCACCAAAGAAAGAGCTTTTTACGAAAAAAATGATTTTCTATAAAGTTTGACAGAAAGTAATCGAAGCCGAGGAGTTCGAATCTGTAATTGGTTTTTCAAAATTTTGAGTTTAATTTTCTTCATTAGGGAAAGGATTTTTTTTAAAAATAACGTTTTTTTGATAGAACTTCACTAAATGTTTTTCAGGTCGAGGAATTCAAATCTGTTATCAGTTTTTCAAAATTTTGAGTTTAATTTTTTTCAAAAAAATTGTTCTTTTTTTAACGAAAATTGTTTTTTAACAAAAGTACTGATTTTTAGCAGAAAAATGATTTCTTTAACAAAACAATAGTTTTTTATTACAAAATTGACTTTTTTTGGTAAAAAAAAATTTTTTCTCGCAATAAAATAGATTTTCACCACAAAAATGATTTTGTTTTACAAAAAAATAATTTTTTAGAAAAATATGAATTTTTTAGTAAAAAACTTTTTTTGAAAAGAATTAAAATCAGAACTTCGAAGAACTGATAGCAGATTTGAACCCCTTGAGCCCAAAAGCTTTTAGGCAAGTTTAAAAAAAAATTGTTATTTTTGAAAAAAATCCTTTCCCTAATGGAAAAAATTAAACTCAAAATTTCGAAAAACCAATTACGGATTCGAACTCCTCGACCTCGATTACTTTTGGTCAAACTTTATAAAAAATCAGTTTTTTCGTAAAAAACTTTTTCTTTGGTGGAAAAAATAAAATACACAATTTTTAAAACACAGACCGGTTTCGAACCGGTATCGGTACCGGTCTGAAAAAAATTAAACCGATTCCACCTCTGATACAAAGCGTTCAAGAGAGTCAAGTCAGAAGGTGCTGTAGCCGACAGAGATCCTTTTTGAACGACTTATACAGGTGTTAGGAAGTCGATCATCAAACGTCAGGTAGAACTACGAAGCACAGAGAGTGTGAATGAACTTATCAGTCGAACGATACCGGTGAATGACGCGCAACATAACAAAGCCCGTCAGTATTTTTCAAAATTTCTCCAAAAAACGGGAGTTAGTTCTCTTTTGACCTTGTACACTATGCAAACACCGTTATACGGATGTTTACAAAACGAAGCAGATGACTTCACCGCATTAATATATCTAAATTTGGATCAACTTCAAAACCGCGCGTTCCGTGGTATTACTTACCGCGGAGGTACCCTGACCCAAAATGATATCAATGCATATCGATGGGCGATCCAGCGTAAAGATTACGTGTTGGAAACTCGTACTTTGCAGTCAACATCGGTAAAGAAGGAGATTGCTCAAGGATTCGCAGCGAATTCTGTGACAGAGTGCAAGAATAGTGGCAAATACTCTGCGTTACTTACATTCACTTTTCCTGAAGCTTGCACAACAGCTATCGATTTGAGAAAAATTTCTAAGGAATTCCCTGCTTTATCCGAATTTGAAAGGGAACAAGAAATTCTTGTCCTTCCGTTCACTCTTTTTAGTGTGACAGATATCAAAATCGATTTGCAGAGCAACCAATATCGAATCTTTCTGACAAATGTACCGGTGGTGAAAAAATCACTGAAAAAGGCAACAGATGAAGTGACATCTTGGAGCTACCAACGAGAATAATATTAAGACAAATGACAATTTGTTGACTATCTTTGTTCATTCATTTACTAAGAGGGACACCAACGAGATACTGACTTATTTGATCACGAACGCCTATATTCGACAGTCGAGTAACTGATTCAATTATCTGTGAAAATTTAGGCATCTGAAATTCTGCTAATGAATAAACAACTCTTTGAATAAATTAATGAATACGTAATCAATGAGTCAAGTACAAAGCAATCGTATTGTTAGAGATTCCAGAAAAAAGTGTGGGCTGTGGGTGTGGGCGAGCGTGTGGGTGCGGGTGTGTGGAAGTGGGCGTGGGCGTGGGTTGATATTGTTGTGGCTGCTGGTGTGTTCTTCATTAATAGCCACCCACACGAACGTCTACACCCCATACCCACACCCACATCCACACCCCACACACACACCGACACCCACACCCCCCCCCCATCCACACCCACACCCAAACCCAAACCCACACATACATATACACATTCACACCCCACATCCACACCCCACACCCAAACCACACACCCATACCCACATCCACATTCATACCCAACACACACAGCCACATCTACGGTCACCCTATATACGTCGTTTCTTGTGTCAATATTCTGCTTATCTACGGTAAGTAAGTTGATATTTTGTTTTTAAATACTCAATAATCTTCAACGAAGCTTCGGATCTAGTACTGATAAGAATACTAAGAAAAGAAACGAGCGTTATCTATATTTATAGAGCAAACAAAAGCAACAGTAGAGAACCAATTCTTTCGATTGTTTTGCTGCGCAAGTCACATATAGGTAAGAAAGCAAACAGCTTAATTCAATATCCACAATATGGGTCGATACAAAATTCATTTAACTTAGGGGTGTGGGTGTGGGTGCGGGTGTGGATATCGGTGTGTGGATGTGCATGTTGGCGGGGTGTGCATGTGGGCGTGGGTGTGGATGTCGGTGTGTGGATGTGGATGTTAGCGGGGTGTGCATGTGGGCGTGGGTGTGATTGTGGATGTGGGGGTGAGTGTTGGTGCGTGTGCGTGTGCGTGTGAGCCGTTTTTCGGTACTACTAACACTGAAACCCAAACGCATACCGCTACTCAGCATGCGCACCTGGCCACAGCCCAGATCCACAACCACCCACATCAACTTCCCCACCTCACACTCACGTACAACTACACCCACATCAAAAGCTATTTATTGTCTTTCTTTGTTTATACGAACGAAGTGAAACGAAATACAGTGTTTTTTCTCGTTCAAATAGGTATGGCAAAAGAGAAACATTAATTTTGTCGATCGCAAATTTGTCGATAAAATTTGTCGAATTCGACCAATTTGATTCTAATTTTGTCGGATTCGACCAATTTGATTCTAATTTTGTTGAATTCGACAAATTTTATTGAAAAATGTCGGTTATTGTATTGTCAGACTTCCTTTCGATGAGTTTCAAATTCAATTATAATCACTTAAAATCTGACTTGAAATCAAGTTGGAATTAACTTGAAATCAAGTTGAAATCAAGTTGAAATCATGTTGAAATCAAGTTGGAATCATGTTTAAATCATGTTAGAGTTAAGCTCATCGAAATCAGAGCCAAATATCAGGTTGAATTTAACTCGAAATTCACTTGCGAGCAAAAAACAAGTTGAGTTTAACCTATAGGCAAATTAAAATAACACAAACATAGTTGAATCTTGTTCAGAATAGAGTAAAACGCAATGAATTTCATTATTATAACACTGAGATTAAATACAAAACAAGTGTACATAGAAAACAAACTACAAAAAAAAAGAATTATTTTTTTTTCCAATAACAAATGTAAGGCCAGTTAATAGTTCTTCTTCTGTAATTAAGCCATTTTTGCAGAGTTCGTTCAACATGTCAATACGTTTCTGCATTTTGATTGATGACTTTACTCGACGTCGTTTCTGTGGTAGACCACCAGCAGCTGCAAGCATACGATGATATTGGGAAAATTCTTGCTATGCTAAACGGGTGATAAGGCGCCAAACTGATGGATGATGTTGATTGACTTTTTTTGCTAAGGCATGATGAAATGCTAAAGATAGACTTCAAAGCTGAGCAACTAAATCAGTCGCTTACTACTCACCTTCACATTCATTATTTGTTCTAATGCTCAAGTCACCAACAACATACATATCAATGCCAATTTTCATTAACCATTGATCGTGACAGAAGTCGAAAAATTCGATTAATTTTTTCCGAATAGACTTCGGGCGATACTTTGTAATGGTGCTGAGCAAGCGTTGAAAATGACTTTCAATTCTGTCTTTAGGCATTAAACAAAGCGAAAAGACTTGACGAAGAACGTCTTGAGGAATTCTCGGTTCTTTATAAGTAGCGGCTAAACCGATCTGTTGAATCTGTCGATGCATCGCTTGCATATGATGAAATGTACACCCATGATGCTCTACTTGTGGAAACTAGATAGGACGGAAAGAACAAAAAAGTACAGGTGTAGCAATGGTACTAGATCGGAAAAGGATTGTAAACTTACCTCCACTTCCAATGTAGGTATGAGACCACTCTCAAAATCACTCATTATCATTTTAACACGAAACTGTAAATTCATCCTGGCGGCTATTGATTTTAACTCTTGAAACAATCTTTTGTATATACTTGATCTTTTATTTGCCATAAATCCGAATACACATGCATACACTAAAAATCAGAAATGTTAGTTGAGAACTGGAACTTTACGGTAATATCAAAATGATCGTACCTTGATCTTGTTTAATTGTATGTAGAGTGTAACGCTGTTTAAACTGTGCGGGACTAACATCGAAGGTCCCATCCATGAATAATAATTCCGAATTGAATAAAATATGCAATTGTCTTTCACTGGAAAACAAAATAAATTTTCTTGTTCCGTTTTTTTTGTAAAGTCACATATAAGAAACGGTTTTTTGTCTACAGTGAGTGTGAATTGTGATGGAATAATAAAATCAATACTAGTAGGTAATGGTGGAACGCCAACTGTTCGATGGTAATAAAGTAGCGATTCTAGAAAAAAAAGTTTAAACTTTCTATTGATCAAAGCATAGATTTACGCATGGATTGAGCAATTGGTAAATTTGCCATAGCAGATGGCGACATGTTTGCTTTTGCTAGTTCCTCTGAATGAATCACACCTGGTGTTACTAATTCAGAACGAACACGTTTGATAACTTGTGCCTTAAATTGTTGAATAAATACATCATCCATATTTGGCTCGTGTATGTGAGGTGTTTCATTATTACTAAGATAAACATTTGATAATGTTGTATGAATATATGCCCCACAGTCTCTATCTTCACACCGCCAATAAACCTTATTCTGTGCTTTAACGATCTTATTTCGATGATATGTGTGACCACACATATGTAAACGTGTTTTCTTCGAAAATTCAATTGGACCTAGTGGAATGACAGCATCTTTAAATCACATTCTTGTTGTTACGGTTAACGCTATTTCACTGTCAGTTGTTCAACCTAGAACTGTGAACGTACTGTTAATAACAACTAAATTGTTTAAATGTATGGTCAGACCGCTGCGGTCGATGAGTTTATTATACGTATATAAACATATATAAATACTTAGGGTTATCCAAAAGTAGTGGCGAAGATTCTTTTTTTTTCTTATAAATAGCTATAAACAAATTTCTTTTTTTATGAATAGATAGAGCGTCTTTCGCTCTATCTTTCTATGCTATTTGATCAGTATCCAACTAAGAACATAGTAATAAAATCCCCGACAAAAACGTTTTTTTTCAAACTCTAGCTGGTAACAATACTGCATAAAATCATCTATACGTGTTTTTTTTTTTCGTTTTTACTGGATTTTTTCTTGTTCTTTCTTTCATCATCGTCTTCTTATCTCTTATAATAACTAACCATCTATATATTTCACAGTGGACAAGAAGTAATATTGATAGAACAAAAAAATACAAGGAAAAGTTTATCAATTGTTTATTTTATCAAATGTTCGAAATAATCATCTTGATTATCTATACACAACTGCATTCTTTCAATCCACTTTTCGAATGTTTTTTTATATTCTTCATTACTCAAAGAATACATGAAATTGACCACAGCATCATATAATGATTGTGAATCACTTTGATCGGTCAGATTTTCTTTGATTAAGTCGAATAACCAAAAGTCGCATGGTGATAAGTTGGGAGAATTAGGTGGATGTTGCATCATTGCGAAACCTTTCGATTCGAGATAAGCAGACACATCTCAATGAGCATGTGATTTTGCATTGTCATAATGAATTTTAATGTTACAGGTTCCATATGAAGGTCTTTGGCGTTCAATTTCATCGATGAGAGGACGTAAACAATTGTTGATATAATACTGGTGGTCTATAGTTTGTCCTCGTTCCAAACGATGAATTAGCAAAGAATCGTTCGATTTGAAAAAGATGACTAATAAGGTTCTTGGAGCATACTTACTTTGTCGAACTACAATAGGTGGAAGATCTCCTCTTCTCACCCACTCTGCGTTTGATGACTTTCGACCAATTTGTTTATGATAAAACCACGATTCGTCACCAGTTATTATATCACATAATCGCCATGCTCCTTGTTGAAATTTTGATAAGTTTTCTTTACATATTCGAACTCGTTCAGCCAGTTGAAAATCGGTGGGATCTTTGGGTAAATAACGTGCGGTGACTTTCCTAAGGTTTAAATGACTGGTGATAATTCGATGAATCGTGCCATAGCCTAAATCAGTTTGCTCTTGTAACTCTTCTATTGTAAGATAAGGATCATCATTGATAAGAAGGCGGATCT